CAATATTAAGAGCGACCAAATATTCCCACTATATTTATGTCTCTTTGTACGACCTACATTTTGCCATGCAATGTAGTACAAACTCAGTATAGACAGTACTACTTAGCACAATCTGATCACCAATAAACAACTTAACAGCTTATCACTGAATTAACAACAAAAGAAAAAAGAACAAAAACTAGTTGCACAAAATCAGCTTAATAGACAAGACAACTATACTTATAATGTTGCACAAATTATCACAAAATTAACTAGTTTAAAAACTATAAGTAAATTACATTCCTTCAACACTACTGCATGCATAGCAAAAAAGTTCGTGGCCCAAAATTTCCATGGATTTTGCATTTATTCAAAATTCATAAAAATTATATCCACAAAAATTGATTTAATAAGGTCAAAATGGCTAAAAAGTAGAAAATTACAAAAATTAAAGGCTAAAAAATAATTTTGAAAACAATTTTTTCCACTATACATTGTATGATAGTAATTAGTTACATTGTGTATGCATAATTTATTGTAATTTACTGTAACTGTAAATGTGCTATACCTACCAAAGTAGTAGTAGTGCTTGTGGTGGGAATTTTACCCTCAGATGATGTGGTCTGTATGATTGAAGAAGCACCAACCCTCTATACAAAAAATTATCATTGAAAATTAATTATTATACTGACGTACTGGTTCTGCTTTAGCAGTGGATTCAATCTGTGGGTCTGAAAACATAAATATAAAAATAATAGTATACAATCAATAAAAGCTAGTTACAGGTGTATATAAAAGTACACATGTACCTTCCTCCTTTCCCTCAAAATCTTCTGTAAAAAATAGAAAATAAAAATAATTTTATATACTGCATTTTATTATATGTACCTTCCTCTTCTTGTGGTAATTCAATTACAGTAATATTGTGGTCCTTTAGCTTCTTCAATATCACTGGATCCTTGAGATCTCTCATGACATCATCAAGAACACATGGTAGTATAGCATAAGTGATGATAATGCAATTCTCTCGTAACTGAGCAAGAAATGCATGATGAGACCATGACAGCTTATCAAATGTTAAAACCCATGTGTAAAATCGAGAATGAAGCCAAGGGGAGCCAAGACGAAAAGAGATACGAGGTAAACCAATAGGTGTGTTGGGAGAAAGGTCATACCATTCGTCAAACAAATGCACCAAATTATTACAGGAAATTTTATTAAGTAGTTCAGCATACTTCATTTCATAGTTGTCAACTTGATTCATGAGACTAACATCCTGTGGAATACGTTTCGATATTCTTTTCAACAGATTATAGTTGAGATAACCAATGAAGTGATTATCAATTAGGAAATGAAATAAACTATTGAAATCATGAATCTTCTGAAGAAGATCAAGATATTTTTTCAGCACTGGATGATTTCGAGTTTCTCCTTTCAAATATAACTCAATGAGCAATTTAATCCCTTCGATATCAACATTGTGATGAATTAGTGACTGTCTCACATCCACCACCAAGTCATAATACTTCTGTTGCAAAGAAGAAGCAATTAGATGTAGTTCAGGACGATGTATTCTATTTTCCATTTCATGTACATCATGCACACCTGAAACAAGAGCATAAATCAAATTAATAATTTTCAATTATAAACACATTCTCCAAAATATTTAATGGCAAAATTATTAGACTTATGTACACAAATAGTTATGCTAACTATGGTAAATTCTTAAACAACTTTTATAAATTGTATCTGTATTAATCTAAAATATAAATTTCATCAAGTATAGTCAGTTCAAGTTGAGTTGCCCAAGTACCACTCCTTATAACTTTTTATTGCTAATGCTAGCAAACTGAAAATTGGTATAGTTGCATAACTGGTTCTTCCGAAAATTGGTAGCAATTTTTAAGTTTCTAGGTACTCTGGAAGGTTCTGAATGGGTTCTTCCGCTCTAGTTCAAAGGGAGCCGCCATGATGTGTCATTACATTCATGCTACATCACACTCGTGAATACCATTTGCATCTTATTATTATTTTAAACAAAACAATGCTTTTTATTTTATAAAATAAAGGCAAACAGATAAGTTCCTCTTGAGAAGCAGTTAGTCAACTAGCAGTCTATACTATACTAGGAAACAATTGCTATGTCTGTCTGCAGCCTTC